TAGACTATTACATTTACAATAATTTAACAGCCTTGTCTTAGAAATCAAAGCAGAGATCACAGCTTTTTGCCCTAAGAGCATTTGACTTAATGCTGTGAACCCACAAGAAATAGTGTAACCATGTACCTGAACAATTGCTTGCCGCTGTAACCTTCTTTGTCTTATTTCTGCTTCTTCATCCTCTTCTTCCAAATCAAAGTCTTCAAGACTACAAAGAGATTATTACTTTCTAAGTACCACCATAAACACATGGTTATGTGCTAAATTTTAGCCAATGCAGTTTCTTGGTTTAGAATACAAGCTAATACTAAACAGTAACTGCTCAGCTGACTCAAAAAGCAAAGGCATATTAAATCGCAGTGTATATTAAATCTTCTAGTGTGTATATCTTCTCAAAGAGGAGGAAAAAAGTGTCGTTAGATATATTCTTTGGATTTTGAGTACTTTAAGTGTAAACAGTTATCAATGAATGATTCTAAAAGGGAGGAAAAAAACCCAACAAACAAACAAGAAAACCCCATAATTGTTAATTTTCATCCCAGTACCAATTTTCCTTGGAAATGTGATTGTTAAGAATGGATAGCACTGTGCAGTTGGATTAAGCAGCTATTCAGCAAATAAAACCCTGCCAACAACATAGAGGCAGCAATTCACCCTTTCAGGTATTACAGTTTTTCAAGGGAATACTCTGACACATGCGCAGACTACACAATTTTTACATGCTATGAATCAAGTTGCATTTAGGATCCAAACCACCTCCCAAGCCCACCTACTAGCCAAGAGGTCTTGACTGTCTTGCATACTCCAAAGTTTCTCAGGACAGACCACACCAACAGCAGTCGGGCAGTATTACCAGCACTGAAACATGCTACAGTTTTAGACCACAACCCCGAAAGCTATCTACCACATGAAGACAAGTGTCAGCTAATTTTCCATTCACTGCATCTATATTTTTAGATAATAAACAGAAGTCAGAAGTTAATACTTACTTTTCATCTGATGAGGACTCCTGCTCAGCCTTCATACCCTCAGAAAGACTACCTTTAAATTTGTCTTCTTTAACTTTGCTTCTACTCCTTCGTCTATGGGCACCTCGTGATCTGGATCTCCTTCGAAGACGGGATCTACTTCTTCTGCCTCTATCTCTGATGAACACAAGAGTATTATAAGAAAAGAAGGAAAATCTGTTCATAAAAAAATAATATACTCAGTGATTCAATGCATTAAAACAAACGAATTCATGGATGACAAAATTAAATTGTGCTAGCATATACAATTCTAGACTAAAACAGAAATGCACCATCATTTAAAACTTAAATTGATAGTTATGTATATTCTGTTTGTATTTTATAAAACAAACAAACAAAAAATGCAGCATGTCTTTACCTCCTCCGAGGAGACCTACTCCTCCTTCTTGGAGATCTGCTCCGTCGAAGGGGCGAACGAGACCTCCTTCTAATAGGGGTCCTAGATCTTCTTCTGATTGGGGACCATCTACTAGGTGGGCTCACATCTTTTGATCTCTCACGTCTAGACAGAATATCATCTCTTGTCCGTGCTCTTAAAATAAAGAAAGAGAACAGCAGGGAAGCAAGAGTAAGCTGATAACCAAAAAAAACCAAACCAAAACAACAACA